GGGAACATGCATCCCCCTCACTGCTTCACGGGCTGCCAGGCACCACATACTTTCACCATGTGTCATTTTGCATAAGCAGCACGGAAATAAAAACCTGGAAGCTCAGAAGACCGAAAACACATTTTGGCAATGATGTACATTTGCCCCTCCAGCCTCAGTGAGGGTCCTGCCACCCCCCATGGCCACCTGGCAGTGGAGCAGCAGAGCTGTTCCACGCTGGGGTCTCTTCTCCTGCCTCACCCAGCCCTGTGCTCTGGAAAGGAGCACCCACAGCACAGTGCTGCTGCCCCCTCTAGCAGAACCCCCTCTGCAAACCACACCCGACCTCTGGACCCTGCTGCTCAGCCTCGGCTCCCCAGCTTGTGCTGCACTCACTCGGATCAAAGTTTGAAGCACGACACAGAAACCCCCAGCAAGCATCTGGATTTCACAGGCAAGCCAGATAGCTGCCTTAAGGCAACCAGATCTGCTAGGAAACCCTTCCCAAGGGGTTTAGAAGTATGTGTGTGTAGAAGTAAGGAAAAATACGCAAGAAAATAAGCAAAACAAAACAAACTATACATACAATAATGGACTTGCATCTTATTGATAATGAACATTAAAAAAAAAAGGTGTAATGTGGTGAGACTGCCAGAGCTTTGTGATCCCAGTGAACCGCATTTCCCTGATGTCAAGAACCGTCACAAAAATGATGTAGAACATTTGTAACTTGCTGTTTGTTTCAAGGAAAGTGTTTCAACTCCAACTCCCAGAGCAGCCCTAGGACAAATCTCCTCAGTATGATGCCACCACTGGAAGCACCTGGGCTGAACTGCAACAAGCACTTCAACATTCCAGATTACCTAACCCACTCAAAGCCTCTTTAGAGCAACACAGAAACTGAAGCACCAGGAACCAAAAGCCAAACAGCCAGAAGGGAAGGGTGAAGGGTCTCACCTTCATTCTTTCATGTCCCTTCCTTCCATCCCTCTGTGCAGGGGGAGGACAGTTTGCTCTCTGTGGAAATACTTGAGGAATAAGCGGTTGACCCTATCCAGAATAAAATAACTGATCCTATGCTAGGCAGAGAGCAAGACAATTAAATACAATCCAGGAGATCACATCTGACACATCACTGCCCCATTAGCAAGGCACAAGGGCTCTGGTGAGCAGAAGGGCCTGGGGCTGACAGCTCTGTGACCAAAGGCTCCTGACAGCCACGCTGCCCCAGCAGCCCTGCTGAGAGCTGCTCACTGCACCTTCAATGAGAGGCAGAGATCCGACCATGCCAACACTTCCAGGGGCTCCTTCATCACCCAGGAGTTAGTGATTAACTCCCAAAGAGGTGCCCAACACAGCTGGCAGATTGCTTGTCCCAAAGTGAGATATTTGCACCAAATGCATTCCCAAAACACCTTGAAATGAGTTTCAAACAGCTACCTGGAAATCTCACACCAAACGTAAGTTTAAAAATAAATAGAAAAGGAAGCAGCACAATAATCCCTGCTCTACCACCAGGGACTCATTCTGGGTTCAGATCCAATTCTGACAATCCAACCCAACTGAGTTATGGTGACTGTGCTGTATCTGCTGCAGGTCACAGCCAAGGCCATCTTCTTGTAGGATGAGAAATGCAATGCCAGCTCTGGCATGCAAAGGGTCTTGTTAAACCTGGCATGCTTCAGTGGTCAACTGCCTTAGAGCCCCAGAGAAAGTCCCAAAACAGTAAGAGCCTCATCGTCCACACAAGACCCACACTCCACAGAAGGCAGAGGATTTGCATAAGGACATAATTTTTCAAGCCCAATTAGTTTAAATCAAAATCCTCCTCAGTGACGACCCCCACCCTCACCTCCGAGTGCTGCAGTACAAAGGGCACTCTGTCCCCTGTCTGACACTCTCAGGAACTCTGCAGGCAGGACGGGACAGCTCCCTGCAAAAAAACAAGCCCAGAGCCCTGCCTATACAATAGATGTTTGTCACCATTGTCACACCATCACAAAGGGGAAAGAGGAAGCACAAGCTGCAATATCAGCCCCTGTTATGAAAGCAGCAGCTTTGTTTGGGCAGGAAAACAAGACCCACTGAGCAATCGGAAGAGAAGGGTTGTTAAAGCAAACAGCAAAGGAGCACAGGACCAAGGGGACAGCCATCCTCAGCAGAGACACCCAGGAACCACCAGCTCTGCCATGCTGCTCCCCTCTGTTCCCAGCCCAGGAACCAAACCCTTCTGCTCCCACCTCAGTCCAGTCCTCAGGGACCTTTTCCTGCCACCTCAGCCTTCTCCAGCCCTGCCTTCCCCTGCTCTGTCAGCACTCCCGACCTCCCCTCCCTGTGCACAAGCTCTCTGCCAGGCTCTCCCCTCAACCTCACGACACGATGAACCATTTATCACAAACCAGTTGTTCAAACTGCATTTTCCTTAGTTTGAGCAGCTACATCATTCAGAGACGCATGACATGGGTTATTTCCTGAAGACCAACTTAAAACACTACCAAAGAAAACCAGCTGAGGGTAAAAAGCATTCCAAAAACAATCCCTTCAAAGGCCCCTGTCCACAAGGACTCTAAGACATGCTTCCTTGAAAATAATTCCCTCTCTTCCAAGAGAGAAGCCTATAGATTTAAGAATGAGCAAAAAAAGAAGTATTATCCTTTGTCCTAAAATACGTTTAGTACCTGCAGAAAAGTATTTAGGAATTAGCAAGTGGCTTTGCCCAGTTACATTTGGTGCCAAAAGAGGAAAAATAGCAAACAAAACAACACAGGGATTTAAAAGCATGCTGAATAAAGAGCCTCTTGCCTATCAAATAAATATTACTGTCAGTGACAATTACTGTTGGAGGGAAAGCCCAAAATTACTCTGTGAAAACATTTACACTCTTAATTACATCAAGGCAGATCAGGAATGTTCCACCCTCTAAGCAGAACAAGCTGGGGGGATGTTTTCCTTGTTTTGGGGAGAAACAGCAGTTTCCAGAATGAAAATACTGATCTTTGCCTTTCTCCAATCTAAGCCATTGTTTACATTTGTAAATGATGTGTGCAAATCCGCTGCTGAGAAAAAGTTTAATTTAAAACTGAATTTAATAGCAGGTTCAGGCAACTTAACTGCCTTTAGAAACATTAATTTCATATTGGAAGTAATTGAAGCTCCTCTGTAAGGGAACAGCACTTGACACAACAACAGTCCTGCAGCAGGTCCCAGGCTGCTGGCACCGTGCAGCGCTGAACTGGATCGACTGGGACCAGATTCCCTCCAGCAAGGGGCTTCTCAAAACCTCCAGGGCCCTGGCAGGTCGGAGATGGATGGGCCCAGCTCCATCCACAAGCACAACAGCACTCACTCGGTGTCAGCAGTGCCTGCAAACAGCAAAGTTCTGCTCTCAACATGGGCAGAACATGGCCTTAATTTAATCCCTGGCCCTGATGCTCTTCCTCCTGCTGTCACTCGCACCCAGCCCTGCTCCACAGCCTGCGTGAGCAGCAGAGCCTGGCCTAGAAAGAGAGCTGCTCCCCCTCTATCAGCTCCACTGGCAGAAGACAATCCTGCTTTCACAACCCCTTTTCCTGCTATTACTCAGGAGAAAGGCACAATTTCTTCTCCTGCCACACCACCTCAGGAGCAGTGACAGGTCAAGGTGAGTGCCCCGTGGTGCTGCCAAGCCTGGACTCAGTGAGTGATCGGCTTTCCAAGAGCTCCCCCATAAAAACCTGTCCTGAAAAGACCAGAGCCACACGTGGTCCTTGCGGCAGGCATCCAGAGAGAAGGCAAACAGCCAGGGGTCCAGGGAATACCCCGGCAGGACAGGTGGGTGCAGCTGCCTCAAAAGGCACAGGAGAAGCAAAGAGAAGACAGGGAAGAGGTGGGAATGACTGGGGGTGCCAGAGGCCACTGCCACCTCAGAGGACCCTCTAGGGCATCCCACCATCCAGCAGGCGCCAAGGGAGAGCCGACTTTGGGACCAATCTCCACCTGCTGTGCACCCCAGCTGAACTGCACACAGAGGGCCCAAGACCGTGTCAATGTTCTCACTGCCTTCATGCATTTGAGCATCTCCTCTGCAAGAAAAGTACCCCTAGAAGTGGTAGAGACACTCCCCTAAGTGTCTCTAAGCTGATGGTGTGCAGGCTACCACCCACCCTCTGATTCCCTCACATAGCCAGAGTCTTCTCTGCCAGGAGTAATACTTCTCCCTGTTCCAGGAGGCAAAGCAGGCCTAGGGCACTTTTAAAACAGTTGTGCCTGATTTCATCCAAAGCCATGGCAGGGTTCCTATGCCACAGAGCAAGGACCAAGCCCTCTGCTCCAACAGCTCCTGGGCAGGCGCGAGGCCAGGCAGGGCAGGGGCTGTCAGAACCACAGCACAGGGGCTGCAGCAGGAGAACACCGCGGGGCCAAACACCAGCCAGGCCAAGCAAGAGAGTACGAGGAGCTACTCCTGAAACACACTCCCCAAATCAGCCCAGACTCACAAGTTCTTGGTTAGCACACTACGAGGCACAGCTCTCAACAGCCTCCTTCCTTGCACGCTCACAACTCCCAAACAACTTAGTTGCAACTTCCCTAATGGTAGCACAGGAATGAAACAGTAAAATGGGTATTTCCATCGATAAAAGCCATCCAGAGCCATCAGGCAGCGTCAAACACCACGAGCCAAGAGCACAGTGGCAGCACCTGTGCCACCCCCAGGGCGCTGCCGCGGTGCCCAGCGCTGTCCCCTGGGCAGCTCCGCTGCTCCAGGCTGGTGCTGGGAGCGGGAGGAGCGGCTGGCACGCCCGGGCAGGCCGGAGGCTTCTTCCCACCGCGTGCGTGCTCGGACCAGCGGCAGACCCCCACCGCAGCCGTGACCGGGCAGCCTGCGCCGCCGGTGCCGCGTCTGGACCTGTTGTGAGGAGCCGCGGCACGGCCGGCCGAGCCCCGAGCCCGCCACCCCCGCCCCGCGGGCACCGGCGCTCCGGGGCCGCTCGCGGCGGCCTTGCGCTGCGGCTGCCGCCCGCACGGGGCAGGCCCCGGCTCACCTTGAAGTCGCGGCTGTGCTGCGGGGTGTACTCGAGCGTCCAGAGCGCCCGCACCAGCTGCGCCAGCTGCTCCGTGACCTCGCCGGGCGCGGGCGGCGGCCCGTCGGCGGGGGGCGGCCCGCCGCGGAACTGCTCCAGCGCCAGGAACTCGGCGAACAGCTCGGTGTTGCTGAGGCACTGCAGGATGGCGTTCATGAAGCAGGTGTTGCCGTGGTTGCGCAGCCCCGCCACGCCGGGCACGGCCTCGGAGCCGGCGGCGGGGCG